ACACATCACTATACTGGAGCATTAGGACACATCACTATACTGGAGTATTAGGACACATCACTATACTGGAGCATTAGGACACACATCACTATACTGGAGCATTAGGACACATCACTATACTGGAGCATTAGGACACATCACTATACTGGAGTATTAGGACACATCACTATACTGGGGCATTAGGACACATCACTATACTGGAGCATTAGGACACATCACTATACTGGAGTATTAGGACACATCACTATACTGGAGCATTAGGACACATCACTATACTGGAGCATTAGGACACATCACTATACTGGAGCATTAGGACACATCACTATACTGGAGCATTAGGACACATCACTATACTGGAGCATTAGGACACATCACTATACTGGAGCATTAGGACACATCACTATACTGGAGTATTAGGACACATCACTATACTGGAGCATTAGGACACACATCACTATACTGGAGCATTAGGACACATCACTATACTGGAGCATTAGGACACATCACTATACTGGGGCATTAGGACACATCACTATACTGGAGCATTAGGACACATCACTATACTGGAGTATTAGGACACATCACTATACTGGAGCATTAGGACACATCACTATACTGGAGCATTAGGACACATCACTATACTGGAGTATTAGGACACATCACTATACTGGAGCATTAGGACACATCACTATACTGGAGCATTAGGACACATCACTATACTGGAGTATTAGGACACATCACTATACTGGAGCAATAGGACACATCACTATACTGGAGCATTAGGACACATCACTATACTGGAGCATTAGGACACATCACTATACTGGAGCATTAGGACACATCACTATACTGGAGTATTAGGACACATCACTATACTGGAGCATTAGGACAGGTTGACTGTCAATCATACTACCTGCAATGGCTCAATTTATTGATTCTCCTCATTTGAAAAAAATCTATATGTTGTATCATGTGTGAACATAGCTAAAATCTTGCAATCCTAAATCTAACATTATTCACCATTATTTTGCCAAAGCTAAGTTTTAAAATGAAGAAGTAATGGTGTTACTGAAGTGTTTGTGTGTTTGTGCTGGTCTGATGGTCTGTCTCTGGTGGTCCAGCTCCAGGGTCTGCTCCTGTCCTCTTCCCCAGGCCTCTGGATGACGGCCGGCTGAACGTCAGCTGTAGCTCCAGCGGCTGGTACCCCGAGCCAAACATCACGTGGACATCAGACCAGCGAAAGACTCTGCGTCCTGCAGCAGTGTCTCTCCATCGGGCAGCAGACGGGTTATTCTCTGTCCACAGCTGGACCACCGTCTCTCCATCAGACGCTCAGCTGGTCTCCTGCTCCGTGTCCACCACAACTGGAGAGTCCAAAGAGGGAAAGGTGGACATACAGGGCTTTATATCCTCAGGTTAGACAATGTACACCTAATGATTAAAGTTGCTGGATATATGAGGTTATCACACAGAGGAGCAGTAAACATTTCTAAAACTTAAAAAAGCACATTTAATGTACATTCTGTGTAAATACAATTAACTACAATTAATACAAAGCATCTTGCTTTTAGCTCCTCTGTTTAGCCACCATGTGTTGGAATTTTCCTTGGTTTCTTGAAGACTTTAGTAGGGGTGCTGGAAGGTTCTTCATCTGGGGACTATGTTGTCCTGCATTGTTAATGACCATGATACTTGGAAAAATTAGATTAAGAGGAACATGGGTGTCCATCAGTGCATATGGCAGCAGGGCTCCCTAGGTTTGGGGTCAATGATCAACTTTGTGGCTGTATCATCTGATCTCTGACCATATGTCTTGGACACTCGAGTAATGAAAGTCAGGTGGTGAGTTGGGTGTGAGGAGGGCAGATAGACCTGGCAGGTCTAAACGTGTAGTGAGGGTCCTCCTGGAAAGGCTATCTCGGGTACTGGAAAAGAGGATCTGACCGATGGTTGAACCTCATACACAGGAGGAACAATGCAGGTTTTGTCCAGGTCCTGGAACACTGGACCAGCTCTATACCCTCACTAGGGTGCTCAAGTACTTGTGGGAGTTTGCCTGTCCAGTCTGAATGGGGTTCCTACTCTCATGACTCTCATGATGGTTTTCCTATGGTCATGACTGAAATGACAAGACTTTGGATACAAGTGGCCGAAATAAGTTTGTTCTGCAGGGTGGCAGGACACACCATTAGGGATAGGGTGAGGAGCTCTGTCCCCCAGGAGGAGCTCAGAGTAAAGCTGCTGCTCCTCCACATCCAGAGAAGACCCAGGATAGGCTGGAGGGACTACGTCTCTCGGCTTGCCTGAAAATGCCAGATCTTGGGGTTAGAGACATAGGCTGCAGACATGGAAAGCGACTGGTCCATGTTCTCCAATTCCATTGTTGAGGAGACAATGATGTGAGAAGCTGTGCCTGTATGGCCTGCGGTGCCTGTCGTAGCGACAATCAATAAACCCTGTGTTGGACACCGGAGGTAAGGGATGCTGTCAAGCTGAAGAAGGAGTCCTACCAGTGTTGCCAGATTGGGCGGTTGTGAATTTGATTATGCGGGTAAAAAATGGCATTGGCAGGTTGACAAAATTTAGGCAGTTTTGAAATGTAACTTTTAAATCACTGTGTGATCCTTCTCCATTCAGTTAGTAGTGACCAGTGCATAGCGCAAACTACATGGGCCCAGCTGCAGGAGGAGGTGAAGGAAAGGTTTATGAAAATCTGACTCCTGGACAAATCCGACTCCCCTTCATGTGCACGAGCTTCACACAGCACCTGCAAAAGCCACAGCGGTTTATCATGACACGTTTATCGATCATTTTTCCTGCAATTGACAGCAAGTACAAACACTGAAGCGCTGTCTGATTAACAAGCAGCACCTAGTTATGATCAAAAGAATTTAAAGCGCCACATGGGATGAATATATACGGGTTATGGTTATGATGTGGTTCTGTGACTGCTGTATGGTTAAAATCATGAGGTTAGTTAAATGAAATTAAATATTAATCTAATGTTTTTGGTGTTTTTTGTGCTTGGGCGGGTTTTGGACAGCTTTTGGGCTGGAAAAAGTCAGTTATATGTTGCAACACTGAGTCCTACCAGACTGAATATGGGTACCAACAGGCCAAGCATGCTGGGCAAACACTTGGGCATTGGAAGAGTTTAGAAAGACTATGGAGGAAGATGTAACGGGGAGACTGACACGGAGGGATCCATTATGCAGTATTATTAAGTCACACTTACTCAACATACAACACGCACGAATGTGCGAACATACAACAATCACAGCAATGAAGATAGGGCTGATGGTTGACAGACACAGAGTGATTACCAGGCATGGGTCAGAGGCAGGCAGCGTGATTCAGAGTCCGTGTAACAGGCTTTGGTCGTGGGCAGGCAGAAGGCAGAGCAGAGTCAGGAAACGGGCTGAAGTAGTAACCAGCAGATCAGGCAGGATAGACCGCTCAGTAATGCTGGCCGGGGCTAAACAAGACTTCGCAAAGACTGTGTGAGTGTGAGCTGCTTATAATGGGTACGTGGGTCATTAACGGAATGAAGATCAGGTGCGCTGGATCAGAGTGAATGGATGACGTAATGTTTAAAAGTCCGGAGATGGTGGCCTCTGCTGGCCAGCGAGGGGAGTGACTGGGGCAGAGTCGGTGACAGAAGACTACTAGTCAGCCACAAAGAGATTCTGGCAAACCATCTGGTGCCTCAGGAGGGGGAAGCAGCTTATAAAACATTATCTGTTTATAAAGCAGATGACATTTTATAGTGACTTATATAAAATCACTAGATTACTAGATAAATTACTTACATTAAATGACTAATTGATATAGTTTGTTTCTCTTTGTCAGATTCTTCAGACCTGTGGAAGCCTCTGTTCTTAACTCTCCTCATCTGTGCTCTTCTGGGCTTGGCTGGACTGATCCTCTACAAATACAGAAACATACTAACAGGTCGGTTTTGCTAAAATATTTATTATAAACAGAAAAATCCAGTTCTTGATTCTGATTGGTTAATTCATGTTTGAAGGGGCTTTAAAATACTTTACAAACACACAGCTGTGACTGTTGCTTGTCAACCGCTCCACTATCAGCACTGAGCCAAAGAAACTCTATTATTAACTTTATTTTATTTTGTGAAACATTGCTATGTAATTGAGATAACTGTTTTATAAGAGCGTTAATCTCTGTGAAGCTGTGGTTTGCAGTGAATTTATAACAGCAAAGGGGATGTATGGCTCTGCTCTGCTCTGCTCTGCTTTGGGTCAGCAGCTTTTAGCCTTTTTAAATTCACCGTGAGCCACAGTTTCTTGGGGTTTTAGTGTTGATTGTTTACACATCCAGCAATTGTCATCTCATGATCATTTTTAATTTGCTTTTTAGGGAAGAAAGCAGCTGGACCAGGTGAGCATTATTCCTCAATGAACATCTAAACAAAGTTAAGAGCCGGCTCAGAATAAGCCGGAGGTTGTATTATAAAATAAATAAATATGTTAAAGCTGAATAATGATGCAGCATTACCTGATGAGATCACAAAAATGGCATGCTTCATCTTTTACCCATGTATATACATTGAGGTTTATGTGAAAATCCACATTTACCTTGTAAAATAATGGCATGAGTTTTATTCTATGATATTTCTGCAGCATTTTACAGTACAAACAATTAACAATTTTAATGCAATCCAGTATCTATTTTAAACAAACTTTAAAGAGTAGAAGAGTAATTTGTCCCTGTAACACTGCCTGAAGAGGTTAAAATACACGAGTACTTGTATAACATGTAAAACAGTACTTTTACACACATGAGCAGGACTTTTCAGTGTGCAATCATTACCTCAGAAATGACCTTTCACCCTGAGCATAAGGTAGATCATAAATATCTGCCAGAGATTTTGTCTTTCTGCCTGGATGGTTAAAGGTGTAGATTAATGTGGTCTACAGAGTCTTTCAGTTAATGCTGTGATCAGTCTGGTAATGAGTGACTCCTGACAATCATGTTTCTCTATTTGCAGATGGTGAGAATCTACCTGTGCAGGAGAGAAAAGGTGAGAAGAGATGTTTGTTTGCACCTCTAACTATATTTATTATTAGAAACTGTCACTTATTTTACATTCATACACACATATAAACTATATTGACTACAGGATACATAGAAGTCCAGATGTCTGACAACGCTTACGAGAATGCTTCAGGTTTGTATTTTTATTATATTATAATAATTTATCATAAATAATTTTAGTCAGCATTATCAGCATCTTGTGAAACAGAATTGAGAAAGCCTGAACTTCTGTAAGTTTATTTAATGTCAAACATGAGATTTACACAATTAAAACGGCTTTAGATCTGCACACTTCGAGTAAGTCACACAGAGAAAGAGAACGAGAGAGGGATATTATGTGTGTGTATGTCATGGGCATATCTAGTAGCTTATAGTAGCGTGTTCACAACCTCTTCACATATCATTTTTCAGCATATTGCTATGGTGTTTGATACTGCTGTGTTCTCCAGAACACATAGGAATAAAGTTGCTATGGTTACTGCTAATGTTTGGGGGAAGCTCATTTATTTTGTACTGTGTTTAAAACTTCCAGGAATTTCCTGTGCATTAAATAATAAATCGTGGTTTCATTTAAGCTGTGTATGCATTATTAGTGTCCTTAATCTTAGTCACCGACAAAACTACAAATATAAAACTTGATGCTTAGAATGGTTTTAAATGAAAGGTCAACAGAAAGTGAGCATTTCCACTATTCACCCTCTCTCCACACAATCACCTGTCAAACAGGAAATGCACACCTTTAAATATCTACCTGCACCCATGTGACCAAACTTTCGGTAAAGCAAAATTCAAAATAAAAGTCAAACATTATTATTTTCTAACAATTTATTTGCAGTTTAATTAATTGTGTATAATAGTTCAATCATCAATTATTTCTTACTTAATGCATAAATGTTATATTTAAAAGATTATTATTTTTAAATTATTGATATATTTCTTTTTATTTCAGTTCCAGTAGACATGAATATAGAAGACCTGAGGAAACATGCAGGTAAGACATCTCAGTTGGATGTTGGATCACAGTCTCAACATGGATGCTGTGAATTTTATCTCATATCTACAGAGATTAATGTTGTTTATTTCCCTCACAGAGCAGATCACTATTGATCGTGAGAATATATCTCCAGATCTGACGGTTTCTGGTGACTGTAAATCTGTGAGGGACAGTCCAAAGTATCATCACACTGCAGAGGAGTTTCCATATCAGTTATGTGCATTTGGAGCTCAACAGTTTACCTCTGGACGACACTACTGGGAGTTAGAGCTGGCACTTCCACCAAACCCTCCTAAACTCTCCTGGCTGATTGGTGTGGTGAAACATAAACATTTTAGTGGAAAAGACAGATCTGCTTTAACTCCATCAAGGGGTTTCTGGTTTCTGTGTTCAGATGGGGAAAATGGCTTTAACACAAACACTGATCCCCCAATAACCCTGTCCATATCACCGAGACCTGAGCGACTGGGAGTTCTGCTAGATTATGATGAGGGTCTGCTGGAGTTTTACAATGTTAAAGAGAGGAAACATCTCCTGAGCATGCACACTAGATTCTCTGGCTCAATCGTTCCTCTGTTTAATCCTGGTGTAGGCGATAAAAGTCCACTCAAAATAGTAGACTGTCCAGTAGAGGAAGATTCACCTGCAGAGCTCACTGTACCTTCACAGAGTAACTGCAGTGCAGAAAACATCACAGAAGCCTAACTGAGAGGCGGAGTTAATAATGAAACCCCACCCCCCAGTCAATATTCCATTTTTGTTGGAAATACTTCATCATACTCAAATACTTTCGTTTCATCCAGACTTTACATTTTGACATCACTTTATTTAGGTTATACCTTTAAAATATTTTGCAGATTTTTATTTGGGGGGGGGGGGGGGGGGTGTTGTCGCGAACTGAAGACTACAAGACTAAAAAGGGCATGTGCACTGCACAGGTTGAGCCCTAGTGTGCACATGCCTGAAGAAGTCCATTAGCCTTGTCATCTGTCATGCATTGGTCTACTTTTAAATACTGGATAGTTTTTGACCAAATTTTGTTAAAGAGCAAAGTTAAATAATTTCTACTTTAATAGTGAAGAGATCGCGATTGTAAACAGTCTGAGCACACGCGATGATGATGAGAGGACTCGCAGTTCATTTGAAAAAGCCTATTTAAGAGCTCGCTTATCTGTTTTTGACTGCGCTCTTATATTAAAATAAAGCACTTGCGACATTATCAGAAATACCTGCATTCCCATGCCGACATTCAGACTGTGTTTAGAAGAGTGACAGGGCAGAGGAGAGTAAACTCGCTGTCGGAGAAAAGACAGCGAAACGTGTGTGTAGATCATCGAAATGGCAGGAAATGGCAGGACATCTCTATAGTGAAATTATCCGAGGAGCATTATTCCAATAAAACATTTGTTTTTCAGTTGTTATTTTTTGCCACTGTAACACAGAAAGACATTTGTCCCGCCCTTAAGTTTCACGCAAATCTAGACAAGGTCGACTGTGACTGGTCACTTTTCATGTTAGTCAAATCACCGCTTTGGAAACAAGCGCTGTGATTGTACACTTCAGGGGACAGCCAATGCTGATCACATCGCTGTTATCATATGCATCAAAGGATTTAAAGTTTTAATTTTTTCTTCCATTATTCAGCAATTCCTCTGCGTGCCACTAGGAGGAAGCCCGCGTACCACAGTTTGAGAACCACTGCTGTAATGCATTCAGTCGCTATTTTATACTATGTTTTCTATATGATGACATGCTTTATGTAAACACTTTTCTGAGTAATATTGTGCATTAATTGGGTTATATTAAAAATAATCATTTGAATGAGTGCAAATTACTGTTTCAGTGTCAACACTTCATTATGTGTGCAGACACCAGTACATGTCAGGGCTGGGCATTGAGTAACTGCACATCTGAATTTGATTCAAAAGCTGGTGAATTGATTCTTTTCCAAATTTGATTCATTTGATTTACTGAAATCTGAGATTGGGTGGCTCAGTGGTTACACTGTGTCACTGGTTTGAGTCTCGGCTGGGTCAGTTGGTGTTTCTGTGTGGAGTTTGCATGTTCTCCCCGTGTTGGTGTGGGTTTCCTCCGGGTGCTCCGGTTTCAAAACTGATTGATGATAAGCAAGAAATGCATGATTTAGAGTAAACTGATTCATTATTTAAATGTGATGGGGAACATTGGGTTTTATTACTAAATGTTGTTTTACATTTTATTGAACATTTTAAACCATAACAGAGCTGATGATAGCAGAGTTTAAGGGCTCTATTTTGATGGTCCATGTGCAGAGCACAAAGCGCAGGGCGCAAACGCTTTCAGGACATGTCAGAACGCATTTTTGCTAATTTAAGGACGGGAAAATGCGCTTTGCGCCGTGGCGCATGGTCTAAAAGGGTTGAGTTTATTTTCTTAATGAGTTATAGGTGTGTTTCGAGAATAAACCAATTAGAGTCTCATCTCCCATTCCCTTTAAGAGCCAGCTGCGTCACGCCAAGAGCGCATTTTGACGTAAAGTAAGTTCACTTTCGCTTTTGCTCTTGGATAGGGAAACCTTTATGCACAGACATCAATTAGCCTATAAATAATTAATTTTGTTTGTTAAGCGCAAAAATTTGTTTAAAAACTATTTCTAAATTCAGTTCTAATTTCCAGCAAACGAATAAATGAATAATAATAATGAAGTGTGCTCAAAATACCGAGTTATATCCAAATAACTCAGCTGTGCCCCATATGGTCTAAAATTTGACAGGTGGGCAAATCTAAGCTTGTTTTTAATCAAACAAATATAAATATGGATATAATAAATAATACTGCTAATAATAACAACATTATACAAAAGCAAATTGAATGAACTGAAAAAGCCTCCCGAGATGAAGAAAGTAAGGCAGTGGTTTTTAAATCTTCATGTAGGGTAGAAATTAATATGTTTTTTACTATTTTAATCATTTATATTTATATCCTGTATATATCCTTATTTTATATATATATTTTTATATAAATATTTTTCATATGTAAAGATATTTGCGTATTGCTAAACTACCAAATGACTGTTGCGCCATGCCTTGCGCTACATTTTACATTGCGCCAGGTGTATGATAGGGCCCTACATGTTTTTTAGTTTGATTTCATATTAGCGAGGAAACATTGTTTACTAGAATGTAGAGGCAGATGCAAAACTACTATCAATGCCGAATATATCTGTTTTAAATATTTACAATTAATAATTTAACTTACTAAACACAAAAAAGGTGAAAATTAGACTAAATGTTTTGCAGATGATTGAAGCTGAATGTCTGATTCAGGGGATGGAGACAGTCATTAATAGGAAGTGTGGAGTCTTTAAGTTCAGTTTTTGTCAAATAGTTTTTAAATGCAGGCATTATTTTAGAGATAACTTAAGATAATTATTCATTCATTTATTTTCTTTTCACCTTAACCCCTTTATTAATCAGTGGTCGCCACAGCGGAATGAACCGCCAACTTATCCAGCATATGTTTTACGCAGTGGATGCCCTTTCAGCTGCAACCCAACACTGCGAAACACCCACACACACTCATACACTATGGCCAGTTTTGTTGATCAGTTCCCTTGTACCGCATGTGTTTGGACTGTGGGGGAAACCGGAGCACTCGGAGTAAACCCACGCCAACATGGGGAGAACATGCAAACTCCACACAGAAATGCCAACTGACCCAGCCAGGACTCGAACCAGAGACCTTCTTGCTGTGAGGCGATTGTGCTACCCACTGCGCCACCGTGCTGCCTGTAATTTGAGATATAATGTGTTGTTATTCTAGAACTGCTTCTGCTTTTGTAAATATTTAAACAAATGTGGTTTAACCTGATAAATGTTCACTGTAAGCCTGTGATACAGCAGAGCTTAGAGTACATCATCACAGGAATATGACCCTGAATATTGATGGATCAACACTACAGTGTGTAAAGCAGGAACTTTCATTATAAAGCATGTGAAGGCAGCTATAGCGGAGGTGAAATATTTCATTTATATATTTTTTTTACAGCGATTTCATGTCAAATTCCTGTGATGAAATAATAAATGGGGTCATTTTTGGGTAAAAGTGCTCTGTAAAACACTGATTTTTCATTATTTACCATGATTGAAATAGTGTTTCCTTGAAATGTACTTGCATACTTTACTTTTTGTATCCTTGTACTGCATGTCTATTATAAATCTGTTGTTTTAATAAAGGTAAAATGATATGAAATGTTTGCAGCTGTATTTTATAACCACAACATGCTGACATCAATCTCTTTACACTCACTGAGCATTAATTTAATGCATCTCTATTAATCAGGAGTTTCAGTGTTTGCTGATAGCATATAACATTTAGCACAAACACAACAGGAGTTCACCTGCTCACTGTAAATGAGAACATGATTGTGTGGCTCTATCTAGTGTTTATCAGGGTTTGTCTGGTGTGTGTTCATTGTGTGTGTCTGATTTTTGTTTTTAATGAGTGTCAGTAGAGAATCTGTTCAGCATGTACAGTTGAGGTCAGAATTATTCGCCCCCCTGTTTATTTTTTTCCCTAATTTCTGTTTAACAGAGAGCAGATTTCTTAAACACATTTCTAATCATAATAGTGTTAATAACTCATCTCTAATAACTGATTTATTTTCTCTTTGTCATGATGACAGCACATAATATTAGACTAGATATTCTTCAAGACACTTCTATACAGCTTAAAGTCACATGTAAAGGCTTCACTAGGGTAATTAGGGTAACTAGGCAGGTTAGGGTAATTAGGCAAGTTATTGTATAATGATGGTTTGTTCTGTAGACTATCGAAAAAATATATTGCTTAAAGGGGCTAATAATATTGACCTTAAAATGGCTTTAAAACATTAAAAACTGCTTTTATTCTAGCTGAAACAAAACAAATCAGACTTTCTCCAGAAGAACAAATATTATCAGACTTACTGTGAACATTTCCTCAATCTGTTCAACATAATTGGGGAAATATATATAAAAAAAAAAAACCTTCAAAGGGGGCGAATAATTCTGACTTCAACTGTATATATATATATATAGTTTGTTCTGTGTGTATGTGTCATCCATTAGTCAAAACAGCCCCAAACGGTTTACAGCGCAATGATGATCAAATTAAACACACCGAGCAGAATAATAACACTGATGTGAATATGGATTATGATCTGATCACATGTTTTGGGTCATGCTACAGAAACATACACAGTTTGTATGGGGAAATGTCTTATAATAGATTCCTGTTTAAAACATTAAAGCTTGCACCACAGTTACCATCTGACTTTATCAAAACAGAATTGACAGCTTCATCATTTTTGTACATTTATTTATGCACCATTTTTGGTCACTGGTGTTATCTGGGATTACCACTCTAAATTAATACACCTGAATAAAGTAAATTGTATATTAAAGCTTTAACTGGGGCTCGCTTTTTGTATTTTTTTGCACCGTCTCCCCGTGCTGCCACCAGCAAGATGCCGCCCTGGGCGATCGCCCATATTGCTGTTGTAAATGAGGGCGATGCCAATCCTCTTGTGCACCACCAGAGGGAGCCATCGCCCGAATTCTAATTCGACTCACGGACTCAAATTCCCATAAGCCCTGCTACCTGGCACTGATTGCGGTCCAGGTGCCTCTCATCATCTCAGCGTATTTATACCACACTCACGCTCTGGTTCATTGCGAAGTCTTGATTTGCCCTGCTGTCATTACTGAGCGTTCTATACTCCACATCTCGGATTGATCTGTGCTTTTGACCCTGTGCCCGACTCTACGATTAAGAAAGACATCTGCCTGCCCCTGATCTCCAGCCTGTTATTCTGACTAAGTAAGATATCTGCCTGCCTTTGAACTCTTGCCTGTCCCTCGTTTTGATTCCTGGATTGCCCCTTGTTATTGTTTGTATGTGTGCTTTTAATAAAGCTTGCAAATGGATTCAATGCCGTCTGACTCATCACAACAATTGCCCATGCCCCTGCTCACCATCCACTACTCACCACACCTTTGAACAATCACCAGAATACTGATTACCTTCACCTGTGAACAATCACTAGAATACTGATTACCTTCACCTGTGAACAATCACCAGAATACTGATTACCTTCACCTGTGAACAATCACCAGAATACTAATTACCTTCACCTGTGAACAATCACCAGAATACTGATTACCTTCACCTGTGAACAATCACCAGAATACTGATTACCTTCACCTGTGAACAATCACCAGAATACTGATTACCTTCACCTGTGAACAATCACCAGAATACTGATTACCTTCACCTGTGAACAATCACCAGAATACTGATTACCTTCACCTGTGAACAATCACCAGAATACTAATTACCTTCACCTGTGAACAATCACCAGAATACTGATTACCTTCACCTGTGAACAATCACCAGAATACTAATTACCTTCACCTGTGAACAATCACCAGAATACTGATTACCTTCACCTGTGAACAATCACCAGAATACTAATTACCTTCACCTGTGAACAATCACCAGAATACTGATTACCTTCACCTGTGAACAATCACCAGAATACTGATTACCTGCACCTGCAATCACCACACTACATATACTCACCTCCTTTGTTCACTCACTGGCTGGAATCAATGTCTGATAGTTCACCTCATCTTCTCTCCCTCTCGTATTCTTCCGTGGATGTCCCTTTTCGTCTGTGGATGTAAACACAGCAGTTTAAGGGAAGTGAGTAAGCTTATCTGGTGTTTAACTGTAGATCTGATGCTTACCATATCAACTGTGTGTGAGATGGCTCTCTCTCTGCTTCACCACTCACCTGTGTCATCTCTCTGCATTTACTGCCCTGCATTAATAAATGCCCTTAAAGATATATCCATCCTTGTCTGTCTTGTGTGACCGTGACAAAGATAAAGCAGGTTTCAGGCTGTGAGGACCAGCAGTTTTGTGGTGTTTGTATTTTTACAGTAATTAAGACACCATTATTGCCACACTGATGACTTAAATTGCTCATGTTGTGTCGTTTTAAAATATAAAAAGAGATTAAACTTACAGATTTTTCCCATGTGTAACATATGTACAGAAAAATGCACATTTCTGTAGACGATGTTAATATTTTGACATCATCATCATCATCATCAGTCTGTCTGCGTTAGGAAGTGAAAGTGAAACAGTGATACGACTCATTCAGAAACTCGCACATTTTCTCCTTAGACTAGACAGTTAATGAGCTGAAGGGCTCGGATTGATCTAAACCCAAGACCAATAAAAACATCAGTGATGCGCCTACACACACAAACCTAGATTATTATAATTTAATTATTGTAAATATAATGATTACTATTGTTTTTTAATTAAGGTTTTATCCTAAAATGTTGATTGTTAAATGTAGTTAATTAGTTAGCGTAGTCATTCTGATTTATTGATAATTTTTTAGTTACAAATGAATAACATGATATGAATGATATGATATATTGAATAATAATATGATACTTTATTTATATTTTTATTTAACTATTATATGGATATATCTTTATGTCTTAACTGCTTTGGCAATACATGTGTAACATTTGTCATGCCAATAAAGCAATTACCGAACTGAACTGTGAGAGAGAGGGAGTTACTGTTTTATCCAAAAAATGTATTTTTTTCTGATCTATTTTTGTATTGATTTGTATGAATAATTAATGTTGAATAATAATATAATATATTGAATATTAATGTGATATATTGAATAATATGATGTATTGTTGATATTTTATTAAATTATTTTATATAAATATCATCTTTTCTTTTTTGCTACTACTACTATTTACTGTGTGCAGTTTTTTATTATTTATGTATGTTACTTTTTTATGTAAACTTTATAACTGCTTTGGCAATACATTTGTAACAATTGTCATGCCTATAAAGCAACTATTGAATTAAATTGAAAGAGAGAGAGAGAGAGAGAGAGAGAGAGAGAGAGAGAGAGAGAGAGAGAGAGAGAGAGAAATAAAATTAGAATCAAGCGGCACAAAACACACTGGCACACCTTTACAGCGCAATGATGATCAAATTCAACACACCGAGCAGAATCTCTGATCATACCTGTTTAGTGACGTCATGACGCTTCATTTAGAAAGCGAAAGTTCAACAGTGCACGGCTTCATTGAGCCTCTCACCCATTATCTCTTTATATTTGCTCATTAATGCGCTGAAGGCCTCGGGCTGATCTACAGTCATCATTGTACCGGGTTTCCCCGTGTTTCCCGGAGCTCGAGTGTGTGTCTGCGGTGAGTTCCGTCCTCGTGATTCTCCAGTCTGGTCAGAAACTCGTCTGCTTCTGGAAAGTGTTGACAGAAATGCGCTCGATCATCGTCCTTCTGCTGCTCAATCTGCTCACAGACTGCTCTGGTAAGAACACGACACCACACACACATCTGCACCAATGTCTTCAATTCGTGTGTGTGTGTGTGTGTGTGTGTTGTAATATATTAATTCTGTCAATGGTTTATACTGCCCTGTATGAATGCAGAGGTGCTCTTTATCGAGTTATTAGTATGTTGAACACCTGATATGGTCTATTCTACTGTTTTTTCTATTGTGTTAATCAATGTTAAAACACATGAAAGACACTCAAACTGGACTGCAACCGTCTTTAAAGGTGTTGTAATATTTGAAAGGAGAACATTAGCTAGTTTTTAAAAAGCAAAAAAATAAAATAAAATAAAGAACTCTTAAATACAGACATGAGCATGTGTCTGCAGAGTTTTCGCCACCGCGTCTATCATGGATCCGCTGTGATCAATGCTGCAGTGTTGCCAGATGTAGCTGACTGATTCCAGCCCAAAACATATCCAAAACTAGCCGAAATGCCCATCCAATACCGCCCAATCTGGCAACACTGCACCACTGCCGTTTATCAGTGTCACTCATCGCTGAACAGCGCCTGTAAAATATAAAGTAATGTAAAGTAAAATATAACACTGTGTATGGAAAACATCGTCAATGCACCGTGATGCGCAGAGATTGAACTGAATCGATGGCATGATAATCGTAACCGAACTGATCCATGAGACCAGTGTAGGTTCACATCTCTATTAAATAGACCTCCAAAACACCCAGCTGGATGTTAGAGTCCAGTCAGTCTATTACCACAGCAGATGCGTGCACTCTCTCATTCTCACACACACACACACACTCACACACACACACAAACAAACACACACACACACACACACACAAACAAACACACACACACACACACACACACACACTCACACACACACACAAACAAACACACACACACACACACACACACAGCACCACAGCGGATGCGCGCACTCTCACCTTCACATTTCACATTTAGGTGCTTTATTGGTGTTATGATTTAATAAGTTGTCTAGGGAGAGTAAACGTAACATTTAGAATATTAGATTATTACTGGAGTAGGTGGATGGAAAATACGCAAGAACACAAACTAATTTATAACAATTAATTAGTTTATTTTTCTTATGAGGAGAAGAGAGATGAAGCCAACAAGAGAAAGGCTTATATGTGTGCGCTTTGTATAATGCATAAAAAAGCAAACAGAAATAAAATCAAACTAAAAGTTTCAGGGGAAAAGGAATTAGAGTGGCGCCAAAGCAAAGCAACAAACAAAACCAAACAAACCAAACAAAACCAAAAGCCACCTAAGCTAGAACACAAGATCCCCTCTAAACTCGCTAATAAAAATCAAAATGTGAAAAAAAACCCTGAAATCTTCAGCGTTTGCGACGCCAATAACATAAACTCAGGCACGTGCACACACAGGGCTCAACCTGTGCAGCGCACATGCCATTTTTAGTCCTGAATAGAAAGTGCCCTTCCAAAGTGATCTGAAGTGCCCTAGCAACACCCCCCACCCCCCCCGGTCTTCAGTTTTCCCGCGACATACCCCCCTAACCCCCCCCCCCCAGAAATGATAAACTGTTTAGCCATATTGAATTAAACTACATTAGTGTGTAATTATTTTGAGACACAGAACAAAACATACAGCATAATCAGAGACGAGCGAACACAAACCAACACGTACAGCCCTCTGTCAAACAAGACCTGCCGATTGAATTTAAAGCCTGGTTTATACTTCTGCGTCAAGTGACCGTCGTAACTCACGGCGCTTTCAACGCGCGCAGCTGTGCATTTATGCTTCTGCGCGCTGTCTCTGTTGGTCTGCATTAACACTTCTGAAACGCTAGTTGGCAGTGAGGTGTAAATGTTCCTCTGTGTCGAGTTTCTTCGCTGCTGTTTTGTTTTCCTGAACACTTCCTGGATGTACAAGTGGCTCAAACTCGCTCATTTTGAGGCAAGAACCGGCGGACGTGCAACAACTTTAACTGTGAGGTAAACACAAAACAACTTTCCATCTGGAGCTCCTTCACGGGACTCCACACTTGTAAACAATCGCTCCATCAGGCTCGCACCATTCGTGCGGCTCTCGGTCCCGCCTAGACTCCTCAGCGCTACCAAGCCGACCAATCACAGAGCTTACGCTACGCGTTGTTGCGACATGTAGTTACATTTTTTGAGAGATGCACGTCAGCGACGCCGACGGCCATGGGGAAGGGCTATGCGTCAGCGCCGTAGCATATGCCAGCGTTTGACACAGAAGTATAAATCAGCCTTTAAGTCCGCGGAACGAAGCCTGATTGGTCAACGAAGAAAGGCCCTAATGAGGAGTGAGAGGCTCAGGATCCAACCAGCTGGTACCTGGGAGAGAGAAATAGCGGAACAAAAGGTGATAGGACGAGACAAAGAGTGAATGACAGACAAGGAGAGCGAGAGGAGACAAGCAAAACAGAGGGAGAAAGCACAAAAATACAAACCTCCACAGACAATTGGCATAACAAATAACTACATTCATATTGCCAAAGCAGAGCAGCGCTGCTCAGACAGTGAAAAAAGGGCAGCAGTGCAAAGCAGTAGTGCTCTGTCTCTTATTTTCTCTCTTTAACACACACAGCACTATGGCGGATGCACACACACTCTCTCTCTCTCTCTCTCTCTCTCTCTCTCTCTCTCTCTCTCTCTCTCCCTCTCTCTCTCTCTCTCTCTGGAGAGCATGCTCTTTCTCTCAGGAGTGCTATATTGTTTGACCGCCCACTGCTGTTCAAATTACACCCGACCACCACTCCGGTTTATTCGGTAACGTATTCCTGTGCTGCAAGAAAACTGAGTCAAGCGGCTGCAGACCGCTTAAGACCTAGGAAGACTTAGCCTACTATTTAAACCTAACTGAATTTACATTATGTAAATTCTTTTTTTTACATTTTTTTTTCATACTTTTTTTAGCAAGCTTTGAAACAAACCCCCTGTTGCAACTGGCACTGCCAATGGCGTAAACTGTAACATTTTTACTCACCTTTGGTGATACTGCACTGGAATGATAGGCTCGACAATCATCCAGTCAGTGCTCATTTGTAAGAGAGGCTTGTGTTTTGTTTGTAAACAAATATGGTTAGGCTAACCCCATTGCTTTGTTCATTATTTGCCCAAAAACAAAGAGTTACTTTGTGCCCTGCATCCCTCATTTTACTTCCCAATGGGTTTAGGCCGTACTCACACTAGGTACAGTTGCCTCGAACCGGGCCAAAGCACGCTTGTCCCCCTCCCGTCTCCCCCGACGGCCCGCACTCACACCATATCGGGCATATCACCATATTGAATTGGATTTTTGACTAGTCAAAATTCATTTAGAGATATCTGCAACACACAATCTGGGCTTTGGCGCGTTTTGCACTCACACACAAGCGTACCGCGCCAAAGCCCAAGTGATCCGCGCTCAGGCACACCTCTTCCAACCGGGCCAGGGCCGGCCAAGTGAACCATGCTTGAGCCCGATTCAGCGCACTCACACTTCTCAAACGATCCGGGAAACGGGCCTGGGCACGGTACGAATGGCATAGTGTGAGTAAGCCCTTATTCTGCACCAGACCACACCCATTATATATGAACTCTTTGGTCACCTGCTGTCCATTTAGAGCAGACCGCTCCCGTGATATATACAGTTAAAGTCGTAATTATTTACCCTCATTGACAGCCTTTGCCGGCAGGTAGCTCTCTGCAACTCTATAATCCTCGCCCCCTGAAGTTAAGCAGGGCTGCTCCTGGTCAGTACCTGGATGGGAGACCACATGGGAACACTAGGCTGCTGTTGGCAGTGGTGTTAGTGAGTTCAGCAGGGGGCGCTCAACCTGCGGTCTGTGTGGGTCCTAATGCCCCAGTATAGTGAAGGGGACTCTATACTGCTCAGTGAGCGCCGTCTTTCAGATGAGCTGTTAAAGTGAGCTCCTGACTCTCTGTGCTCATTAATAATCCCAGGATGTCCTTGGTAAAAGAGTAGGGGTTTAACCCCGGCATCCTGGCCAAATCTGCCCACTGGCCTCTGTCCATCATGGCCTCCTAACATCCCCATATCATAACTGGCTTCATCACTCTGTCTCCTCTCCATCAATCAGCTGCTGTGTCTTGCATCATCTAGGTGGATGCAATGTGAAAGCATTGAAGTCCCAAAGGGGAAGTATGCTGCAGTGGTCACCTGCTACTTAAATAGCAGAGACTGGTGGGCTATGGGGGGCACTACTCATGAGTATGATAGTAGCTGGTAGGGAAGAAGAGGTCCACTTAAAAGGGGACCATGCTTAACAGACACCGATCTCCAGAACATTGGTTGATCAAGCAGGCACAGATGCAACCTAGTAGGCCAGGTGGAGTCAGGTGATGTGAGCATTGGAGGAATTCTCCATGGTTCTCCACCAAACCTACAAGCAGAGCAAAGTAAGAGCACACATATTGGGGTAAGGGAGAATGGCATTGTTGAAGTGTTTCAACATTGAGTTTAGTTTGGTCAATGGGAGGTGTTTCTCAGCATCAGGGAGGAAACTGGCTCCACTCGAGGATTATAGAACCTCCTGAATGTATAGCTCCACAGATGTCTGTTAAAGAAGAGCTGTATGCTTATGCCCAGGGAGAGGCAGCATTCCTTGAGCTCACACCCCTGGGGGGCATAGCTTTCTTTGAGTACGGTACACAAAGGTGATGGAAAAAAAGCAGAGCTGACCTAAAGGAAGTACCCACGCAATCGTCTGCAGCCTAGACAAGTCTTGCTGCTGGGGAGCGAGAGGAGCACATGGGTTTGCCTGGTTGTTAAGCTCCTATTTTGACCCTCAGGTCACCTTGCACACTCACCCCAATGCAGGGAGTAGCAAAGGTGTCTCACACTTTAAGCTGTGTGTGTCATGATGACCACTGCAGCACAACAGTCATACTCTCACAGTGAGGGCATGGGCTGCTCACAAGCACCATATCCACATGCTGGACCCCCAGACACAAGACACATTGCTCCTACCCATCATCAAGAGCTGAAAGCGGCTTACGAGAAAACTTCAGCGCTGAATGTATGATCAAGTTCCTAGATAGGCATGGTGCACTGGTACACACTGCCGGGCACTGGCAGACTGTGATTAACTGATGCTTCCTGCATGGGCTGAGGCCCTGTGTGCAATGAGCAAGCAACTGTAGATGCAGACTAACCTGTGTGTTTGTCCATCAGTGTCGATCACCGTCAAGGTTCCTCCTGGTTTTGTAGTGGCTCATGTGGGCTCCACAGTTATTCTGCCCTGCTGGATCTCTCCGGCCCAGAATGCTGAAGCTATGGAGATCCGCTGGTACCGTCAAAAGCAGTTCAAAACCCCTGTACTTCTCTATGAACATGGCAGGATACAAGACAAACAGGAGGAGTCCTTCAGGAACCGCAGCTCTCTGACACCACGCTCAGATCATTCTGGAGGACTGAAGGGTGGAGATGTGTCTCTGCAGCTGGAGAAGATCACCATTCAGGATGAAGGTCCATTTCACTGCTACGTCAGTGGACACAGTGCATATGACAGTGCAGAGCTGGAGCTCAAAGTCACAGGTCAGTCAAACCCAGCGTTTAACACCATAATCCCTCCACAATTGAAGGAGTAGTTCACTTACAGAATGACTGAGCAACATTCAGCTCCTCTTCCAGCTGATTCTCTACAACCCAGCAGTGACATCTTGAAGAAGAAGAAAATAAATCTGTTGTGTTTAGCAGAAGAGGGAAGTGAGGACATTTCATTCTGGAAGTGAATTGCTCTTTTAAAATAGTCAAGCAGTCTTCTGCTGTCCGCTAGTGATGTGTTTACTGAAGTGTTTGTGTGTTTGTGCTGGTCTGATGGTCTGTCTCTGGTGGTCCAGCTCCAGGATCTGCTCCTGTCCTCTTCCCCAGGGCTCTGGATGACGGCCGGCTGAACGTCAGCTGTAGCTCCAGCGGCTGGTACCCCGAGCCAAACATCACGTGGACATCAGACCAGGGAAAGACTCTGCGTCCTGCAGGAGTGTCTCTCCATCGGGCAGCAGACGGGTTATTCTCTGTCCACAGCTGGACCACCGTCTCTCCATCAGACGCTCAGCTGGTCTCCTGCTCTGTGTCCACCACAACTGGAGAGTCCAAAGAGGGAAATATGGACATACAGGGCTTTATCTCCTCAGGTTAGTACACTTATTGATTAAAGTTGCTGGATATGTAAAGTCACACAGGACAAATAAACATTTCTGAAACTTTAAATGTTTTTAAAAAAACTTAATATCAAATATACTTATTTTCTCTTTGATGCACAGCTAAAGAGGCATCCTTGAAAGTAAATGGAGTAGTTGAATGTGTGCTTGTGTGTGTGTGTGTGTGTGTGTGTGTGTGTGTGTGTGTGTGTGTGTGTGTGTGTGTGTGTGTGTACTTTCTTGATCTATCCGGTTTATAATGCAGATGATATTTCTAGAGAGACTTCGATTTGTCTACTTTAAATGACTGATTAATATGGCTGAAGGTGTTGATGTTCATCTGATTTCTCTGTCAAATTCTTCAGACCCATGGAAGCCTCTGTTTATCACCTTCACCCTTCTTTTCTGTGCTCTTCTGGGTGTTGCTGGACTTATCCTCTACAAATACAGAGGCAAACTAACAGGTAGGTTTGGATAAAAATATTCATTATAAATCATAACAGAGAGTTCCAGTTCTTGATATTGACTGATGAAGCTGCATTCAAAGCTGTTGTAACACCCTCTACAGACACACACCTATGACTTGTCAACCACTCCACTATCAGCACTGAGCCAAAGAAACTCTGATATTTGGGGGTGGGGTGGATGTTGAGTAGGTCAAATCAAATCACTTTTATTGTCACATCATCAGCAGCTTGTGTGCTGTGATGAGTGAAAAGCTTAGTGTAGTAAGATTTGTTGTTATTGTGGGAAGAAGACAGGGTCGGCGATTCAGGTAAGTCAATGTTTTTATTTCAATTTCTAGCCACAACACGTGCAACTGTGTCTGTGTCTGTGTGTGTGTGTGTGTGCGCGTGCTCTCTCCTCTTCCGGCTGCTCCTTCTCTTCTCCTTAAAAAGGGTGATTAAGAGTCACTAGAATAAACAGGTGTTATTTATTATTTCTGATTGGCCTGCTGATTAGCCGCCGGGCTCTGCTCTCCCCATCATTGGGTGTTCGATCATGCTTACCTCTCCAAACTTAGATATTTAGGTAATTAGGTATCATATGACAAAAATGGGAGGGTGACGGGAGATGGGAGTGAAATACAGGAGACTGCCAGGAAAAACGAGTGTTGGCAATATTATGGCTCTTTACTCTTTATCGATGTTAAGCTACTTTGACAATCTTCATTGTATAAAATGCTATAGAAATCAAGATTAATTGGACTGACATTAGCATATATTTGCATGGTTAAAAGGCGTAATGCCAGATGTTATGAAGTGGACACAGACCAAAGACTTGTGGATTCAAATGCAGTTTGTTAAACTTGAGGTCGTACACACAGTGGTCAAGCAGGAGCAAAACAGTATCACAAGGGTAATCCAGTAGACGAGGTCAAAATCCAGGTGAGAGGTCAGACTAGGCGGAAACGAATTAAAATTAGGAACAAGGCAAGAATCAAAAACACAAGAAAATTATGTTCATAATGTTCAGTACAGGCAGTGGAAAGTGACGTGTGAAGTTTTACAAACTAATTTCAAGAAGGGCATGTGATATAATTGAGCATGACTGGCTTCTCATCTGTAATAAGTAATATCCCAATAAGAGTGACCCAAGCTAATTATAAATGGATTGTTTTCTCCCTACTGCTCCATATTCATTTTGTAAGAATCCCCTTCCACCCCATCTCTATCGGCACAACCCTAGGGCTCATTGCTTTAGTGCAGTGGTTCTCAAACTGTGGTACGTGTACCACTAGTGGTATGCAGGCTTCCTTCTAGTGGTACACGGAGGAATGAAATATGTCATGTACATGCTACACAAATTTCAAAATGTATAAAAAATGATGTATATAATATGTCATATATGACATATAACCTATATTTCTGATGTAATCTGCCACGTTTTTTAAATGTGCAGAGTTGTAGCTGCTTTACTGGGCCTACTGCGCTACTGTATTTCAATACAGCTCATTTTGGTGGTACTTGGAGAGACAATATTTTTCTGAGGTGGTACTTGATGAAAAACGTTTGAGAACCGCTGCTTTAGTGTCCACTGTTTATGCATTCAACAATTGTCATCTCATGATATTTTCAGTTTGTTTTTTAGGGAAGAAACAAGCTGAAACGAGCTAGTATTATATGACTGCATTAACATCTAAACACAACACAGTTCAGGATATGTTATTGGTAATGAACATATCCTGAACTGGCTTATCCACATAGAAAATTCCAGATGTGAAAATCCACATTTGCCTGAAAATACTTGCATGATTTTAACTCAGCAGAATTTTACGAACAAAAACAAACCACAAAAGAAAAAAAGAAAAAAGAAAAGTAATATTTTAATATTAATAAAATGTTATGATTTTTATTTTAATGTAAATTATAGAGGAGTAGATTATTTTCCCTGTATCATTATTCCTGAAGGGCTTAGCATAAATCGCAGAATATATGATGTGAGTGCTTGTATCACATATAAAACAGTACTTTTACACACTTTTATACTCATTCAGTGTGTAATCATTACCTTGTAGAGACCTTTGACCCACATCAGAATCTCTCTGGTAGATAAGCATGTTGAAGAGGGTTGGCTGATTAAAGATGTGAATGGTTAAAGGTGTAGATTAATGTGGTCTACAGAGTCTTTCAGGCAATGCTGTGATCAGTCTGGTAATGAGTGACTCCTGACAATCATGTTTCTCTATTTGCAGACTGTGAGAATGGACCTGTGGAGGAGAGAAAAGGTGTGAAGAGATGTTTGGTTGCACCTCTAACTCTATTTATTATTAGAAACTTTCACTTACTTTACATTCATACACACATACATATAAACTATCATTATTGACTGCAGGATACACAGGAGTCCAGATGTCTGACAACGCTTATGAGAATGCCTCTGGTTGGTATTTTTATCATTTACAATAGTTTTTAATAATAAATTATTATAATGAGCATAAACAGCATTTTCTGTTCCTGATGTCCATGCAATGTCAAAGACGAGGTTAACATCTATTTGTGATATCAGATATCAATGACTGTAGATTTTATGCTATTTCAGCCACAAAAACATGCAGTTCCCTATAAATACTGTAGTGCAAAGATACTCTGGATCTCAACAAATATCTACTAAGTTTTAAAGAAGAAGCTGAGCTCTTCAGAGTTCAGAGTTGGTCAATAGCGCTCTCAGCTTTCAGCGTGCCAAAAACCACAGTTTATATATCCTATCTATAGTTGTCATGAGTTATGATGTAGCCTCACACCTTCCTCAGCTCCAGTTGAAT